AGACCCAGTGGCTCCACCTCGGCTCCTAGCTCCCTCGCCTCCACCGTCACCCATCGATCCATCATCTCCACCGGGCTCCCTCGTCCCTCCGGCTCTGTCTTGGTCGGGCGTCGACCCGGCATCGCCTCTGGACTCCACTCCACTGGTTACGCCTCGTCGCTCCGTCCCACCTGCTCCGTTGGGCTCCTTCCTCCCACCAGCACCACCTTGGTCCTCAGTTGCTCCGGCTCCACCGCAGATCTCCGGATCTCCGCCTCCGCCTAGGTCGCCAGAGCCATCGGCTCCACCCTGGCCCCCCAGATCCTCAGCATCCCCCTGGCTCGTTGGCTCTCCGTCTCCACCTCGGGCTCCTCCACTACCTGCTTCCTCCTCCATGGCTCCTCCCTCCATCGGCTCCACCATGGGCCGACATTATGGCTGTGGTCGGGGTCCAGCTGGGCTCCTCCTGCTCCAAGCCCCTCCTGTCTCCTCCCTGGCTCCTCCCTCCATCGTCTCCTCCCTGGAATCTGTCTGCCGGCCCCCTCCCGGGTGTCCGTCCTCCTCCTGAGCCTCCTCCCCATGTTGTTTCTACGATGCGAGGATGCACCTTCTGAGAGGGGGGTGTAATGTCACGCCCCTGGACTCATTGTGCTGTGTTTTCCCTCCTCAGGTGTACCGTGTTCCCTTTAATTAGTCATTCCTTGCGCCTGTGTTTTCCCAATCACCCAGTGTTTAAATACCTGGAATCTGTCTGCCGGCCCCCTCCCGGGTGTCCGTCCTCCTCCTGAGCCTCCTCCCCATGTTGTTTCTACGATGCGAGGATGCACCTTCTGAGAGGGGGGTGTAATGTCACGCCCCTGGACTCATTGTGCTGTGTTTTCCCTCCTCAGGTGTACCGTGTTCCCTTTAATTAGTCATTCCTTGCGCCTGTGTTTTCCCAATCACCCAGTGTTTAAATACCCTAGTCCAGGGATCCTCAAATCTGGCCCACGAGATCCACTTTCCTGCAGAGTTTAGCTCTAACCCTAATCAAACACACCTGAGCATGCTAATCAATGTTTTCAGGATCATCAGAAAATCACAGGTAGGTGAGTTTGATCAGGGTTGGAGCTAAACTCTGCAGGGCATTGGACCCCCAGGGCAAGATTTGAGAAACTCAGCCCTAGTCCTTTTCAGTTGTTTTTTGTCTGAGATTGAACGTCATTCTATGTGTTCCTGTGTCTCCTACGTACCCCTTGTGTTTGGATTATTAAAAGACTGTGGTTTGAAGCTATGTCCGTGTCTCCTCGTTCCGTGCTCCGAGTGAATTTTGCCTGTTACTGTTGTGATTAGTAATTAATTAGTTATTCTTTATTAATTGGTCATAGTTCGCAAGTAGTTCTCAATGAGGATATATATTATTATTTTTTTAGTAATTATCAAATATCTAATAAGGAACTACCTTTGCCCTAAATTTGCTACTACTTACTGCTTGGTTAATCTTGCTTCTCTATTAGAAGAAGAAGAAGAATGAGTTTTTATTGCCAGGTATGTTTACACATACGAGGAATTTGTTTTCATGACAGAAGCTCCACAGTGTAACAGAATGACAGTGACAGAACAAAAACACAGATAATGAAAAATAGAACAACTCACTAAGGAATAAAAATATACAAATCGACAATTGTATGTACAGGTATATAACAATAGACAGTTGTATGTACAGGTATATTATGTGCAAATTGTTAATAGTATTAATAGTTAATAGTATTAAGTTAAGTGTTAATGTAGTACTACCTATTACTTCCTGCATAGTTACTTGTTAACAATGGACCATTATTCTAAAGTGTTACCATTGAACCGTATTGTAAAGTGTTACCGTTTTTTATTTTATTATTATTTTATACATTTATAGCAAATCTTAACATTAATAGCGAATTTATTTTTGAGGTCAGTGTTGTGCAGTTTTTATTGCCAGGTATGTTTACACATACGAGGAATTTGTTTTCATGACAGAAGCTCCACAGTGTAACAGAATGACAGTGACAGAACAAAAACACAGATAATGAAAAATAGAACAAGTAACTAAGGAATAAAAATATACAAATCGACAATTGTATGTACAGGTATATAACAATAGACAGTTGTATGTACAGGTATATTATGTGCAAATTGTTAATAGTATTAATAGTTAATAGTATTAAGTTAAGTGTTAATGTAGTACTACCTATTACTTCCTGCATAGTTACTTGTTAACAACGTACCATTATTCTAAAGTGTTACCATTGAACCTTATTGTAAAGTGTTACCGGTTTTTATTTTATTATTATTTTATACATTTATAGCAAATCTTAACATTAATAGCAAATTTATTTTTGAGGTCAGTGTTGTGCATACTTGAAATAAAGACTGTAATCGCATTATTAATAATGGGTAAATTCGGCAGAACCACAATGCCTATTTTCTCCTCTATAGGTTACGAATTGTTAGGAGATAATAAAACGTATTTGATAACAACAAAAGCAAAAGAAAACAATTTGCATCTCTACACACCTGTGCAACGGGCCGTATTCCAAGAACAGACTGCTGCTTTTACAGCAGCCCGGGTCTGTCTTATTTAGCAGTGTTTGCGTGCTGCTTGGCAACCCTCTTTAGTGCTTCATCTTGAAAATAAAAATACCTCCTGTATTCACTGTGTCTGTTGCAAATTACATAGATGGAAATCCAACAATTAGTGCACTTATCTGGCAGAGGATACAATGCATTTGCCTTGAAATGAGATTTTCTATTACAGAGTTCCCGAATTGGACCGTTTTCCAAGAATGGCCTTGCACAAAAGATGAAGACTACATAGCATCAATCTAAATTTAAAAACATGTGGATACTGTCAGCAAGTGTTCACAGGATGTTCAGTAACTTCACACCTCAGTCAGGGAGGTTCAGAGTGTGGACAACTGTAAAGACTAGCATTTTCTGTACTTCTGTCAGACAGGGAGTTGTTCGGTGTATTTGATATGGTTCCTGCTTAAGCTTCAGTAAATAGCCAAAAGCCTTTAGTTTACATCATGGCCACGGACAGTGGCTTGTTATTTACTAGTCAAAAGAAGGTGATATTCAAAGGAAGGACAATTTTGATTGGATAAATTGGTTGTTGTTGGTTATTTTCAAGTTTTATTCTTTAAATTTAATATCAAAGTATTTGTTTTTGTGTGTTTTAAGTAAGTTATTCTGAAAACAAAAATAAAGTATATAATCTATATTTACATATTTAAAAATATCAATGTAGCACATTGTAGTAGTAGCCTGTTGTGAAGAAACAGCAACACGTTCAAATGAGTTGCTCGACTGTAGTTCAACACGGCAAATTGAAATACTCTGTCATGAGTCAAATGGGTCAAATTATGTTCAGTTCTCCATCTATAACAAAACAATCAATGTGTCTTCGATCTAATTTATTGAATGCTACTTTAAAGCTGGACAATGTGGATATTGAAGTTCAGTGATGTGAAAGTAATTTCTGCTCCATGGTAAAAACCTGTAAAAAGAACAAAAGAAATAATGAATATCGACTCACACTTTTAAAAAGTAATTCCGCCCTCGATAAAGAAGCCAGTTGTCATTGTAAGTAGACAGATTCACTGAAGTGGAGGCGTCATTTTTTTTGTTTTATGCATATTATATGTGCCACATGGCCTGAATACCTCAGGCGATGTGCCACAAATATACTACTTCTTGTATAGAGTCATACTTTTCTCTGTTAGACTTATCTCTGAGAGGCTCTTTTAAAGCTTCCCTATCCATTACAATAGCTTGATTGCTATAATGCTCTAATCACACCAGGCTCTGAGAATTGGTATGACAGGCTGGCATCGCTGTCACTTTCACCTTGTGTTGAGGTTATTGTGTGCAAGTCCAATCACCTGCTCTCAGTTCAAACTTGAGCCTCAGCACACAAAAGCCGCCCTTAAAGCAAATACAATTAATGCCATTCTAAGGATGTTATTAATATCAACGATTGAATTGTCTTTACAGAATATCCTCACTAAGCTCACCAAATGCAGTTTGGAAAGGAGTTTGTGAGGCGAAACAGCTTCTACAAATGTGTGATAAATGACGAGGAAATAGACCTGGATTCTGCAGATGTGTTTGAGGTGTGTGTCTTTTCTCCTACACACTGTATGTGTTTTGGAGAGCTGGGGGCAGAGGGGAGTACAAATATTTACTTAAAATTATGCCATCAGCACGTGTGTATGTTTGCTTTTTTATCGGGTACAATAGCGATCAGAAAAAATACCAGGTTGAACTGAATCTGACTTATGTTACATTGTGCTTCACTTCCTTTCCTTGGCAAGATGCTTTGATAACCTGTTCCTCTGCCAGTTGGCTTTCAAAGGGAAGGCCTCTGCCATCGACCACCTGAGCCGGAAAAGTCTGGAACACCTAAGCTTCAGGGATGAGAATGGAGCTAGTCCACTACACTATGCTTCGGCTGGAGGACACCTGGACATAATTCGCCTCATTGTTTCTGTCGTGAGGCCTGAGGGTAAGTCTTACTCCTTGACAAGGTTTTAAAGTTGTGATGGAATAAAAATAGCGACAGATCTTTATTTCTGTATTGTGACACACATTTGAGTGGAAGGGATTATCAAAAATGAAAAAAAGGTAGAGTTGTGACTTTTGCTGCGTTCAATTTACCTCAGAAGTCAGATGTCGGAGCTGGGAATGACACCCAATTCTCGCTTTGCCTCAAAAGACTCTTAATTTGCTGCTTATTAATAGATAGGTAAGGTATAGGATAAGGGATGTAGAATATGGTCATGCAGAATAAATGCTTTATAAGTACCAATAAATAGCCAATATGTTTATAACAGGCATGTAAATAAGCAACTAGTTAATAGTGAGAATTTGTCCCTAAACTAAAGCGTTACCTAGAGTTCACTCATGTTAGCATTAACAGTGTTAGCAAAAACTGAGCATTACACTGCATTTTGTAACACACTCTCCTGTTTAGTTGTCGGTAGCAAACACCAAAATCTGACATTTTCATTTTAAATGAAAATCTGACAGCCCAGAAATTTAACATAACACTATAGATTTAGAACAGTATACAGTAAAAAGGAAGCAAAGGACTTTAAGGTTTGGGATCCAGTTCTAGGAATTAAGTAATTGAATCCAACTTTGAGGCAGCAAGTAAATAATCTACTTAATCTGCATAAAATGACATTTTAACCATCATAACAAACACCATATTTTGAGAAATTACACTTGAGTCTATGTTTTGCACTAATTGCATTGTAAATATATGGATCTGTTTTGAAGGCCTTGTCCTTAGGCTTTGTTTATTCACCCCAGTCTTTTGCTATTCAGATCACATCAGGTCAATGTCTCATTATGTTCTAATGATTATAAAACTATCACATAATCTCCCCATGGATCACACACTTATGTCACAGGGAGGCTTATTGCGAACGCAGTACTTCAATAAATCATAGACAAAACAGAGCAACCAGTTTACTCACTACAATGGAAAAAGACCAAATTATATTCAGAGTGCACATTTCTCTTCCTAATTACATCTATTACAGCGCAATATTCTGCTGAAATAAACAAACCAGCCCAAGGTGGGAAGTTGATCTCCCAGACTGTCTGAGATGATCAGTTTGATCTGTGTTTAGGTACTTGTTAGCTGGTTAGAAATGGGAGATCAGTTGACCAACCAGCTAAATACATGTGATTTTTTCCCCCCAAACCCAGCAAAAAAAAAAAAAAAAGTTCAAACCCTGCTAGCAGCCAATTGTAAAGATTTCATTTGTCATGTCAACCACAGTGCTGACTGCATGCACAACGCTGAACCAAATACTAACCCCTAACCCTAACCTACACTCTAACCTTAACCTTACTGTAGCATTGGTAGCACATCTAGATAGACATCTAGACAATTGGATCTGAACTTTGAACTGAATCAAAGAAGCCTGAACTTTTCTTGAAAGGTGACTTGTGACTGAATTAACCAATGAAATTGGTGGGGCTTAACTGGTTTGGGGGGTTAGAAATCACACACTGAATACCAGGTTTGTCAGGCTGGGAGACCAGCTAAACCAGCTATACACACACACACACACACACAAAGAAAACAAACATGATGCGCTTCCTACCGTCTCGTCTTGAACAGGAGCGCTTCACAAAAATTAACCAAAATTCAGCGAATACATGTCTCACAGACATGATAATATATCTATAGAAAGCTTTAAATTACTACTTAACGAAATAAAACAAATCAAAAACAAAAACTCTTTCATTACAATCATAATCCGTAAAGATGCATTTCTCTCTAAAGGCGCGTCTAATGAGGAGATGGCGAGTCAGGATCGGCAACTTCATCCTTGCGACACCGAGTCAGAAAACACTAGTTTATTAGTAAATAACTCAGATATCTACTTACTATTTCCCCCTGTCACATTTATGGTATTTACTTTTGCCGGTGCTTTGCGGCAAGCTTAAGCCTATTGCTTGCATTTGAACGCAGAACTTTTCAGCTGCGCTGACGGCACCATACATACTGCTGCTGCAGGACACTAAACACCGTCGAACCGCTCTTGACAGTCGCGGTAGCACGGTCTCGTGTTGTTTCTACCAGCAAGGCAATTTTTTTCATCACTAGCCTAATTGATGGATGTCTAAAATATGAAAATAAGGAGAAGCCTAAAACAGGCCGGAGGCCCGGCCCGCGTCTGAACTATGACGTGAAAATTGGCCCGAAGCCCGGCCCGAGGGGCATAAAAAAGTCAGGGCCCATCGGGCCAGGGGCTGAAATGCAGGGCTCTACACAAAATATTGCAAAAAGCTGGAATATGAATATAACAGAATGTTGGGTGGATAATTATCTTTTTGGACAGTCAGAGGAGAGAAGCAATATATTAAATGAGACACACCAGGCCTATGCAGAAAAGCCATTTTCTTAATCTGTTCCAATGACAAAATTATCAATTATCTTTGTCTGTATTCAGACAGAACAGGGGCATAAACTTGAAGTGCTTCAAAACTAAATGAAAACATTGGTAACACTTTCTATGAAGCCCGTATTTATAATACATAATAAGGGTATTCTTAAGGCATTATAATGAATGCATAATGCATTATAAAAAACCTTATAATATGTTGTATCATCTCATGAATATTCATAAGAACAGTTTTAATATATTATAATATTTACTTATTTGTGGTTATAGCTTTTAAGAATATGATGATTTATAACACAATGAACTCGTTGCATCCACTTTTACAATGGATTATATTTCTCATAGTTATAATGTATTATAAGTCTCATATCTTGCCATTTTTCTTATGCTACTTTACTTAAAGCGGTCAAAGACAAATAAATAATAATAATAATAATAATAATAATAATAATAAAACATTTTTCTCTCAAACAGCCATAAGATCAGATATCAGATCAGATGAATGTGTAATATGACACATTTGCTTTGAACTATTTTTATTGTAATATCAGTTTGATTATTTTGATGGTACCCTTTAAACAGCTGTTGATAAGTGACTCTGCAACTACATATCAACTAGCGGTCATTAGAGTATTAGTATGTCTGCTTCTGTTAATATTTGCTAACACTTTATTTTGATGGTCAACTAACAGATAAACTGACTATAAGTGTCTTTGCAAGTACGTCAACTTATTCTACCATACTAGATTCTACCATTCTTGAGCATACTAATACTCAAATGAGAGTAAGTTGGCATGTAGTTGCAAAGTTGCTTATAGTCGATTGATTAAGGGGACCATCAAAATAAAATGTAACCATATAAAACATTGCATTTTTTCAGTTGGAGTATAGAGCGCACATCAATTAATTAACATTAGCTCCACAGGAAACACTCAAATAACACTCAACATCTAACCACTCACAAGCTGTAGTAAGATACTGTGCAGATCTTAAATAAACAATGTCAAGATATGATACAGTCCATTATTCTGTAAATGAAGTAGATTTAATATGGTGTTCATTGTGTGTTATAAATAATCATACTCTTAAACTTATAACCACAAATACGTAAGTATTAGGATGTCTTATAACTTCTTATGATTATTCATGAGTTGATATAACATATTATTCGTTTTTTTTTATAATGCATTATGTATTCATTATAATGCCTTAAGAATACCCTTATAATGTATTATAAATACGGGCTTCATAGAAAGTGTTACCGAAACATTTTATAGATGTAAATCCATTAATAGTTTCCATATAGAAAATATGCCTTGTATATGAAACATTATTTCAACCTGTATGATAATGCTTTTTTTTTTTTGACTGAATTGGAAATATAAGGACAAAATAATTTGTTTAATTTTTTTGAAAGAAATCGTACTTACACACACTATATGTGTACGTGTGTCACGCCCCTGGACTGGTTTTGCTGTGTTTTCCCTCCGCATGTGTTCCGTGTCCCAGTTAATTGACTCATTCCACGCGCCTGTGTTCCCCTGATTGCCCTGTGTTTAAAAGTCTCAGTCTGTTCAGTTTGTGGCTGTCGGGTCTACTTGTTGGATGTCGTGTGTTTCCCGTGTTCCTGTTGTGGATTTACCCCTGTAATTCAAGTATTAAAGACTTTCAATCAATGTTGAATGTTTCTCCGCATCTCCATTGTTCCTCCCACAGCGAATCGTGACAGAAGACCCGACCTAAACCGTTACCTCCGTGTGTCCACACTCCATTTTTGTTTACTGTTTTTTCTCAGTGTTTGTTTCCATTGTGTTTCCCTTCATGGATGCCCTCCTTCGCCTGGAATATCTCCTCCTCCTGCTGGAGCAGGGGGAGAAATCTCTCGAGGACCATACAAGACTGTTCCGGCTGTTAGCTAGCAACACCAGCTACCCGGATGACGCGCTCTGCTCATTCTATGACACAAGCTTGAACACCGCGAGCAGAGCACCGTCGTCCGAAGATGGTCCTCAAGAAGATTTCGCCGCATTTATGGAGGCACATCGCCCAGGATGTGGAGCCCCACCCATCAGACCAGGTGCGAGAGCCGGCGGCACTGCCCACCGCAACGGAGCAAGCCGTGGACCGTGAGAGCGCAGAGTGGAGCTCCGCCCACTGCACCGCGGCTGAGGGTGAGCTAATTGTACATCTGGGACTGCTGGACTTAGAAGGGGACTTGATAGACTGGGAAACAGATCTGGAGGTCGACTTGCCCTCTCTCCTTCATCCCCACTGGTCCTGTCCAGCCCTGAGGGGGCTCCCATTTCCCAGTCCAGCCAGGAGTGGGCTCTGATCCCCGAGGGCAGCCCTGAGAGCCCGGAGTCTCATGAATGGCCCCCCAGCTAGGCTCCTCCTGCTCCGGGCCCCTCCTGTTTCCTCCCTGGCTCCTTCCTCCTTCATCACCGCCCTGGACTCTGTCTGCCTGCTCCTCCCTCCCCGGTGAAATTGTTACGGTGCGGGACGTGCCTTCCGGGAGGGGGGAGTAATGTCACGCCCCTGGACTGGTTTTGCTGTGTTTTCCCTCCCCATGTGTTCCGTGTCCCAGTTAACTGACTCATTCCATGCACCTGTGTTCCCCTGATTGCCCTGTGTTTAAAAGTCCCAGTCTGTTCAGTTTGTGGCTGTCGGGTCTACTTGTTGGATGTCGTGTGTTTCCCGTGTTCCTGTTGTGGATTTACCCCTGTGATTCAAGTATTAAAGACTGCTGACCGCTTCTCCGTGTCTCCATTGTTCCTCCCACAGCGATTTGTGACAACGTGCTTGAGGGCAAGTGACACACAATCATGTTAACGCTAGGAAAGTTTAAAACATATATGGCGACAATTAAGAAGGTGGAAAATATGTGCCATATAATATCTTATTTCAGTATTAGTCTTTACAAGTACTAATTTGAAGTTGAAATCACACCTTGCGTATTTTTATTCATATGCTCACAATTGCTTTGTAATTTTTTTAGACGCGTTAACTAAAAATATTACTTTATTGCTGTGCTTGTTGCATGATCAGTCTATTTTTCTATTATTCGGTAGAATTTGATATTCGTTTCGAAGTCATTATTCACACCTTTCCGCCTAAGGTGGTCTTGTCGCTTGCTATCACACTGATTGCATCTGAACGCTTGCCGAATGTACTACTGTCCAGAACGCCGCAACAACAACAATATGAATTCAGTGTTTCTTGCTGTGTAGAGCTGAATGTACAGGACGAGCAGGGCAGAACTCCTCTGCACTGGGCTGTAGAGCAGGATCAACCGCACAGCTGTGCATTATTGCTGGAGCTGGGTGCTGACCCCAACATCCTCAACAGCGCCATGATGGGCCCTCTGCATCTGGCTGTCACAAAGAGATACAATCATCTAGTAGAGGTCAGTAAAACATGCTGCTGGGAATCCGCTGGTGTCACAGTCAGGCCAGAGAGCAGCAGTAGATATGCTGTTTGCAGTCTGTTGAATAATTTGTCATTATATGCATCAGACTGTATCAGATATACTGTACTGGTCAAAGGTGTCCAAGTTGCCCAATAAATGCACCAAGGCTGTATTTATTTCCTTTAAAAAATACAGTAAAAACAGTAATATTTTTAAACTGGTTTCTATTTTAATATATTTTAAAATGAAACATTATTTTTATAGCAAAGCTGAATTTTCAGCAGTCATTACTCCAGTCTTCAATGTCACATGATCCTTCAGAAATCATTCTGTTTTTGAGACTGGCAGTCTGTTTTGGGGGTGGGGATTTTTCAGTTACTCTTTCTGCAGG